GGGTCCAGCCGGCAGAGCCCGCCCCGCGTCCAGGTCTAGCCAAGATGGCGGCGGGATCGCGGGTTGCCGCACCAGAGGGGGAAAGTGGCCGTCGACCCCGTTTAATCCGAGCTGACGGTTTCGCCTACTCTGCTTACCTGACGCGCTCTCTTCGGCTCAGGCGGCCCGTCCCTTTTGTAATGAGCTCGTGGCCGTCCCGTCGGCGTTTACTCGGAAGTAATTCCTACATAGCACAATGGGGCGCCCTGCCACATGACGCGGCGCAGGTTTGCAGCCCTGGGCCTTACGAGGTCGCCCTGCTGCATTTGAGCTGGTGTATGTGGCTACATTGATCTGCTTGACACTGCATTATTGGACACTATTAGCCAAGATTCTGGTTATTTTTGTTTTCCTTCCTTCCAGTATCCAGCCTTTTCTTCATCTTCTTGTATAGCTGCTTGTCCTGGTCGTCTTTTCCCACTGCTGAGCTAAAGTGCTCTTCCACCAGCCTTGAGTCTGCAGAAAACTAGAGAGGCAGCGAATCCCTGTCCTATTTTTATTGTCTCAAGTCAGTGCCAGTCGCTTGACTTCCCTCCAAGGCAGTGGTGACAACAGTTTTAACGCACCTGGAAACCGCTCCTGGACGGTGAAAGAATAAGGGGGAAATGTTAACACAGCTAAGCCTCTCTTACTTGTGAACAAGCAATCAGAAGAAAAAAGGTTTGGCAGGGTAGGTTTATGCCATGGTGGGGTGCCAGTGGTGAAATCAATAAGAAAATGCTGTAATCAGTTCAGATGCCTGTTTTAAAAATCCTTTAATATAAAGAAAAAAGGGGAGTACAAAAAGAATACAAAAAAGACAAGTTTTTAAAAAAGTATACAACTGCTTTCTCACTGTAAAAAAATACTCTTTTTTTGCTTAATAAATCCATCTTTCATGTTTTGATAAAATCCAAATGTTGGGAATATAATTCAGAATTACATTCACACCTTTAAATCATAACTTCCTAAAACCATGTTAACAAATTCATGAATGTAAAACCAAGATGAAACTATCGTGGGATTGTAAATTTCTCTCCATTTTATACTTCCAACATAATAAAGTTGAAAACCAATCCTTTTAAAACATTCTTTAGCATATCCAATAAATGTGAAAAGTCTTTTGTGAAATTAATCTCATTTATGTTTATAATATTGAATATACTCGAGAAAACTTAACCATTAATTTGTTAATATGGGGTATTCCAACATTTCATTCCAAAATTCTTGCCAATAACTAATATCCACTTTAACATTAAATTCAGTTGCTAATATTTAGTTGTCTAAAGTAGATGTCAACTCTCCCCATATCTATTTTAGCAGCACAGTGTGTGCTTATCTTTTTCAATCAGCCAACACTGCCCTACAGCAGTTTACAGAAAGTCCACTTTCTCTAAAAAACAAGAAATTAACACATCTCACACATTTCAGTTTGAAACACGTGAACCAGCATACAGTTGAGCAACTCTTCCCCTACTGGCTTAACCAGAGTTTCCCCCACAGTTCCAATTTTTAAATTACCCTATGTATATCTGTCAGCTCATCAATGCAGTAATGCCTTGTATCATCATCCAAGAACTGGGAAATTCCTTGTTAACATCAGTATTTTAAAATTTAATTTTCCATTCTTCCCATTCTATCCAAATAAGATTATATGTCCTGGTAACTCTCAGTACTGCTTTAGAGATCTGAAGGAGTAAAAGCTCATTTCATAGCAAATATATTAATCTTTGAGGTGCTAGGAGACACTTCGTTGTCCTCTAGATTCAAGAACGTTAGGGAAGCAGAAGAAGAATAATTCATTGGGTGATGTAAATTCTATGAACATATCCTCCCATTAACCATTATTATGTATCATTTGTAAAATGTGTTACCTATTGATAATTATGACCAAAACCCCAAGGGTAACCCCTGTTTTTTAGTACCTGGTTCTAGTACATCACCGCTCCTATTTTTTCCTTGTTAAGAGAAAATTATTTTACCTTTAGAAAATTTGTTTGCATGAACAGCTAAAATTTAAGAGACTTAGGATTCAAAAGGAAATGGATATACAGCTAGAACTTTTTTAGTTTCGGAGACTACATAGGACCTCATGGAATCCTTTGAGGTTTGCAAAAATTAACAGGGCTATGGGCAGGGCTGGAGTAAACACATCCCATTTACTTACACATTAACCCCCCAACTCAAATCACTGGGGGAAAAAAGTCTTTATTCTTGAGCTATCTGCATCATAAACACACTCATTCACATGTATGCTTATGCACCATAAGATTGTAGCTGAGAGAAAGAACCCTTATTCTCTTCTTCTCTCCCAGGGACCCTGCTCCAAATTGTTGCTTCTTCCCTGTCATCAGCAGGTGTGTTGGGGGATGGTCCTCCTGTGCCTTAAGCCAGGTGCTCTTGGTAGTCCTACAAAAAGCTGACTGTGAGGCTATCAGGGCTAGGGAAGATGACACAATTGTATTGGCCAAGCTGAGGGGGAATTCAGGGCCCCAGGGCTACATGGAGCCTCCAAAGCCTTGACTACAGCCAAAGGATACCTGCTGTGTATTTTAATATTGATCTTGCTGCAGCAGACAGCTACAGCTGTCTATGTCCCTAAAATCTTTTAGAGGAACACGTTGTGCAATTTAGTCTCCTTATCTTCAAAAAGCTACTATTTTAATTCAGTTACCTCTCTGCAAATAATTGTAAATGCTTCACTGAGACAGTTCCATCCTCTTTAAAACAGGCAATGATCAGGCCTTTTTTTAATTTTTAAAATTATATTATTATAAAACACAAGTACATTATATTATTTGGGTACAGTGGGATTTATATGGTATTGACTGGAGATTATTAACACTGTAAGTTTAGAGAACTTAAACCTTTGAAGATTAAAAAAAGTTTATATCAATATTATCATTTCTAAAATGCTAATGTTTGATAAGCATAAACTTTAAATTTTACATCTAAAGCTAAATGTGGCATTAAACAGGCCATTCCTAAAGAGACCAGTGGCCAATGTTCCCTTCCTGAGCAAGGTGCTTGAATGGGTGGTGGCCCATCAAATCCAGGCTCTCTTGGATGAAACTGAGTTTCAGGCCTGGCTGATTCATTGCCTTATGGGATGACTTATGCTGGGAAAAAGATGGGGAGTGTGACCCTGTTGGTCTTCCTGGACCTCTTAGAGGCTTTCAGTCCCATCAACCATGGGATCCTCCTTGGACAAGCTGTCAAGAGTTGGGATGTGAGGGCACTGTACTACAGTGGTTCCACTCCTACTAGAATGGCCATTTCCAGAAGGTTACTGGATTACTCTTCTGCCTCATGGTGGTTGGTTATGGAGTCCCTCAGGGCTCCATTTTATCCCTTATCCCTTTTAACATCTACATGAAACAGCTGGGAGATGTTATCCAGGGATGTGGGCTGAGATGGCCTCACCAGATAGCATTGCTGGGAAAGGTTATCAATATGCAGATGAAACCCAGATCTACCCCTCCTTTTCCTCTAACTCAGGTGAGGCAGTTGGTGTCTGGATCAGTGCTTGGACATATTTCTGGTGAGGACATGTATGTATGTATGTATGTATGTATGTATTTATTTATCAAGTCTGTCACCGCCGTTCTCGTTGAAATGGTTTCTGGGCGGTTTATAGCAGAGATAAAATTCATTAAAATACAGTATAAAAAACAATCCTGATAATAAATAGCTTCCTAGAAAGTTGGAGAGTTGGTGAATAATTCAAGGGAGTGCTGTCAGGGCGCTAACCACCTCCAGGGACGGTTAGAGCCCATATTGCCCCATGCACACTGGTAGAGCCAGGTTTTTAGCCCTTTTTGGAAAGCTGGGAGGGTAGGGGCCCGCTGCATCTCTGAAGGGGGAATATTCCAAAGGGCGAGGGCAATAGCAGAGAAGGCTCTCCTCCTGGGCCCTACCAGCTGACATTCTCTCGCTGACTGGGTCCGCAACATGCCCTCTCTGCCTGACTGGATGGGACAGGTTGATGTAATGGGGATGAGACGGTCCCTCAGGTAACCTGGACCCATGCCATGTAGGGCTTTAAATGTGATAACCAACACCTTGAATTGGACCGGGAAGCAAACTGGCACCCAATGCAGCTCCCACAGCAAAGGTGTTACATGTGCCATTCTAGGGGCACCTAATATTAGCCACGCAGCTGCATTTTGAATCAGCTGTAGCTTCCACATACTCTTCAAGGGTAGCCCCATATAGAGCATATTGCAATAGTCTACCCAAGGGATGACCAGGGTATGACTGACTGACAGGAGAGCCTCCTGATCCAAGAAGGGGGGTAACTGGTGCACCACATGAAGGTGGGCAAAGGCCCTCCTGGCCATGATTGCCACCTGCTCCTTGAGCAGG